GGGAACTGAAGTCCACTTATTTTAAAGTTGCCAACATTGGGAAACACTGGTGTCAATTGATAACATTAACACATTGCTCTATAACACATTCCAAGTCTCTAACCAATGGCTTCTCCCATAGGGATCTTTTCAGGATTATTTTCCAGTCTCAGTCTAACCCAGGTTTTTTAAAAAAAAAAAAAAAATCAAGGGCTTTTACATAATTTCTTTCCAAAGTCCTATTGATTTGAAAAAATTGAGAAGTCCTGGCTGGCAAAGTCCCTTCTGCTGGCTTGGATTATGGAATCAAGAAAAGCCCTTGGTAGTTCTGCTTCTTTGTCAGATACGGCTTCTCTCTTCTCTTTCTACAATTACTTACCGAAACAGAAGTACATATTGTCTTTCTATCAAGAAGTCAGCTTGAATTGGCCTCCATGTAACCACCCCTGCTGTTGACACATGTAAAACACAGTCCTAGCTCTGGCTTGTGTGCAGATGTTCCACTACAAGCATCAGCGCCATGGGGTGACCAGCTCTGCCCTGTAGAGCATTATTCAGAATCCAGTTCAGATCTCTGTATGAAAATGACACTACATCAGTTGCCCTCATAAAGAAAGAAGTCAGCCTTTCCCTCTGCAACGTAACCCCCTTAAAATGTACCTGCCCCCAAGTCCTAGAGGCGTGGGGCAGGGATGAGCGATCCTACTAAGGCTAAGATTCCCATTTTCTGTTTAAAGGTGATTCTGCCTTAGAAGATTCCCAGCTCTAGCCATCTCTAAACGGAAGCCCATTTTTTAAAATCACTAACCCCAGCAGAAGCCTACATATAAGCAGTCCAAGGTTTACCTCATTAGATTAGAATAGGTAAGAAAATGTGGGAAATTACTACTTCTAGACATCACTCCTAAATTGTAGATGAATATGTCAAATACCTCGCTTGCAATAGCCTCAAGCTACGCTTTCTAACTCCTTTCCCAGATTGCTTCAAATGCTGCATATAGTGGAGACAATTTACTTTCATCACATTAAAGCAGAATCTTATTTTCACCCGTAGGCAAGTGAGAACTACTGATATAATCCAGAGGCTTTGGATGGCAATTGTTCAGCTCTGGAAACATATTTTGAATGTCTAGAAATCTGTCTTTCACAGAAGAAAACAAGGGATATCATGGGAAGTTAGATCTCTGTGTGCTCAGGCGCCTGGGATTTTTGCAAGGCCTGCTTGACCGTTTAACTACCAAGGGGACATGCAATCTTTTGAAGCAGGCCATTTTCTTTCATAGCAGGTGTGCCACTTCAGCCTCAAGCATTGGAACAAAGAAGCTGTTTTGAAAGAGGTATTTAGCGGCTAAGCATGCCAGTTTTGAAAGGGTTAGATAGGCGGGCGTTCTAAGTGGGACTGGGATATGAGTAAATGCTGATAAGCATTGATGAAGGAGGAAAGGATTCTATACTACAGAAAATATCTGATTTTATCAGCTCAGAATTCAAAAGAAAGAATGACTGCAATGTAAGATAAGATTTTTGCTGTATTTTCTTCCTGTATTTCTCCAATCTAAAGAGCAGCCACGTATTGTATATCTGTTTATGAGCAGAGCTTATCCTTCATTTCAAATTTAATTGTATTTATGTATTTATAAGATTTATACCTCACCCTTTCACAACAAAACAGGCCTAAGGTGCTAAGGTGACTGAGACAACTTTCTTGGCTCGTTGGGGGCCATGATCTTCCAGACTGGTCTACTTCTGCAGGGAAGCCAGAGAAAATCAACCTATAGATGGGTATACAGGTAGTCATTGACTTAGAACCATTCGTTTAGTGGCAATTTGAGGTTACAACGGCACTGAAAAAAGTGACTTATGACCATTTTCACATTGCAACTGTTTCAACATCCCTGTAGTCACATGATCAAAATTCAATCCCCAGTTACCCCTGCCTGGCAACCTAGAATTGGCAACTCCCACTTAAGACTTTCTTAGAATTTTTTTGTCCTCTAACACATACATTTGCGACACATATACATGTGTGTGTGCATGCATATGAATATGTATGTGCATGCACACATACACACTATTCAGGGTTCACACTGTAAAAAAGGGAGGACTAGGACTAAAAAACTTTTTAATATTTAATAGTTTATTGATTAAAATCAATTGATTGTAAAGAAAGGCATTCAGATACTTGGCAACTGACTCATATTTATGACAGTTGCATTGTCCCAGGCTCATATGATCACCTTTTGTGACCTTCTTACAAGCAAACTCAATGGAAGCCAGATTCACTTAACAGCCATGCTACTAAGTTAACAATGACAATGACTCACTTAACAACCGTTGCAAGAAAGATCATTAAATGGAGCAAAACTCAACAACTGTCTTCCTTAGCCACAGAAATTTTGGGCTCACTTGTGATGGTAAGCTGCTGACTACCTGTATTCCTTACCTTTCCGTTGTGATTGCGTTAACTTTCTCTCCTATACAGGGCCCATGGAAATGTGACTGACAAAGTAAAGAATTTGCCAATGCTGGTGCCATAAAATCAGATTTGACCAGACATTTCAAACTGCCATTTTACATGGAAGAAGACCCGAGATTTTATTTCAATGTCTTCATCTGTTTTAAAATAAAACCTCTGAAGGAATGGCGTAGTAAGCTGTTTAGAGAGTTTATAGTGCCTTTATTTTACATGCCTGAACCATATGTTTTTATACCAATTTATTTTTCCATTTGAAGTGTTCGCATTTAAACAGATGAACTTAATCAGATGGTTGTGGTGCTTTTAAACAAATGCTTTTGTATATCTTTTCCTGAAGAAGACAGTCATAGGCATACCACTGATGTTGCAGTAATTTCCAGACTAGACATCTGTAATGCAGGGCAGTATATGTAGGCAATACCTAAAAGTATCTAAAATTTTCAACTAGGAGGATAATCCGGAATAAAAAAAGAAACAAATAAAAGTCCCATGCAATCCCCAGCTACCCCTGCCTGACAACCTAGGGTTAGCAACTTGCACTTAAAACTTTTTTAGAATTTTTTTTTCTGTAACAAATACATTTGGCACATGTGTACATGCGTATGGGCATATGCATGAATGTGTGTATGTGCATGCACAGATACACACTATTCAGAGTTTACATTCTAAAAAAAGGGAGAACTAAGACTAAAAAACTTTTTAATATTTAATAGTTTATTGATTAAAATCAATTGATTGTGGTGCAGTGATTAGAGTACAGTACTGCAGGCTACTTCTGCTGACTGCCGGCTGACTGCCATTTGGCAGTTCAAATCTCACCAGGCTGAAGGTTGACTGAGCCTTCCATCCTTCCGAGGTGGGTAAAATGAGGACCCAGATTGTTGGGGGCAATAGGCTGACTCTGTAAACTGCTTAGTGAGGGAGGTGCCACAGCAGGGAATGTCCACCTCTTGGGACCCACCAAATTCCCTAACAGTTGGAACCCACAGCATTTCTCTTCTGCCAGACCTAATGGGACGGGAGATATAATTAGGGAGAGGCAATCCCTTAGATCAGTGGTCCCCAACCCCCGGTCCGCGGACCGGTGCCGGGCCGTGGAGTACCTGGCACCGGGCCGCGCAGCAGCCGGGGGACATGAACGCTGCAGCGCAAAGGCTCCTGGGCCGTGCGCAAAAGCTCCTGGGCCGTGCGCAATGGGCCGTGCGCAAAAGCTCCTGGGCCGTGCCCTCAGCCCTGCGCGCGCTCAGCGGGCCGCGGCGATAAAAAGGTTGGGGACCACTGCCTTAGATAATCCAGTCACATGCCATGAAGGGCTTTAAAGATTAAAACTAGCAATATGAATTGGAGCCAACCAGTGCTTCTCACAGAGCTGTTCTGTCTGAAACAGATCTAGGAACAGGCCAGGGGTGAAATCCAGCAGGTTCTGGAAAATCAGTAGTGGAAATTTTGAGTAGCTCGGAGAACTGGCAAATACCACCTCTGGCTGGTCCCAGAGTGGGGTGGGAATGGAGATTTTGCAATAGCCTTCCTTCCCCCAGGAGTGGGGAGAGAATGGGGATTTTGCAGTATCCTTCCCCTAGAGTGGGGTGGGAATGGAGATTTTGCAGTAACCTTCCCCTGCCACTCCCACCAAGCTATGCCCACCAAGCCACACCACACCCACCAAGCCACGCCCACAGGACCAGTAGTAAAAAAAATTGAATTCCACCACTGGAACAGGCCCAATTGGTGTACAACACAAAGCTATGCATAGGCCTCCTACTATAACTACAACTATCACCTTGTAAGAGTTGTGAGTACAGGAGGATCTCTAGCACCAAAGATGGTATAGTCTTTCAACTGGCATGCCCTCCATGCCACTCAGTCTTGCCAGAATACACCTGAAGCCTGTTATGTTATCCCCTTTTCAGACCCTCCTGTCTTCAAGGCACTGGGCTACAATGTTTAGAGCATTGCTTAATACACCAGGATATATAAATAGCGGCAACATAGTGATGATACTTCACCCCATAGCAATGGATGAGGTCTCCCAGTAGCCTCATATAGATGTTGACTCACTACTGACTGGAGAAAGGAGGTGAGCAGTACAAGACTGTGTTGGCCACTCCTAATCCTTGGGGACAATTCAGAAGGATACAATGATTGATGGTAATGAAAGCAGCAAGCTAATTTGCATTACACTGATTTTATCCATGTGTAAGGCTTGCTAAAACTTAAATTTACTGAGTAAATTCATGTTAGCTATCTTATGGTACTATAAAAACTGCTCATTTTTTAAACAATCTCTTAAGAGAGCCATCCTTCTATAAAGGTGCTGCTTGTCAGTCATTCAGATACTTTTATTCCAATGATCTACATCACCAGTCCATACAGTTTTTGTTCAATTCATCCAAGAATCTTACAACCATGCCCTAAATTAATGCACTGTGCTTGAGAAAGGTTCCATTTGCAGCAAAGATTAAAAAGAAACCTCGAATCATCTGGTTATGGTTTCCCTAGGGTTGGGTTTATGCAAATGAAATGTAATACAAATTTAGATTCTTACCTGTTTCTCACTCATGGCATAAAGATATTGCAGATCAGGGCTCAGCACTAAATCCCGCAAAATTGGACTGCCATCATGGGCTATCACATTTTCATATTGAAAGACTGAATGTCCAATGGGACTGGCAGGATCAACCAAGATCTGAAAGAAACAAGGAGCATGTAAGAAGCACGAAAATTGATGCAATTTTTGCAAAACTAAGATGAGTTACATTTATTAGAGGTTGCAAAGACACAATGTTCCATGTTCTATACAACTACAGGTAGTCCTCGTTGAACGACACTAAGTTCACAACTGTTCAAAGATATTATGACACTGAAAGAGGGGAACTAATGACCAGTCCTTGTAATTGCAGCCACTTAGCATTCCCACAGTCACATGATCACAATCAGCACTGGCTCACCATTACACCGGCTGCAATGTCTGTGGTTACATGATCACATAAGAGCCTTGATCACATAAGGCGCAGCAGACTAAAGTGCTGTTAAATAGTACCAGCTGCCTGCAATTACTGCAAGTTCAAATCTTACCAGGCTCAAGGTTGACTCAGCCTTCCATCCTTTCAAGATAGGTAAAATGAGGACCCGGATTGTGGGGCAATAAGCTGACTTTGTATAAAAAAGAACACCACTTAGGGGGGGCCGAAAGCCCTACTAAGCAGGTATATACAAAAGTATGAAGGCTATTGCTTAACGCATTGTAAGCCGCCCTGAGTCTCCAGAGAAGGGCGGCATATAAATCGAACCAATAAATAAATAAATAAATTTGCAATGTTCACTGCTGACTTTTAACAAGCAATGGGGAAGCCAGCAGGAAATCGTAAAAGGCAATCATGTGCCCATGGAATGCTGCAGACACATGGAATTCATATAACAGAAGCAAATGGGACTTGTGCAACTACTAGCACAAATCAGTACAATCAAGTGATGTTGCACTTTACAACCATAGTGCTTAGTGATGAAGTTGCTAGTCCTAATTAGCACTGTTAAGCATAACATATATTTAGCCTTTACTATTTCAATTACTACTCCATAATTTCCTATCTTATCAACTGCCTGATAATTGAAAAAGTAAGTTAATGTGACTATCCAAAAGTACTACCCCAAGAATTTGATTTACTTGGCAGTGGAAAGAACAGATTAATGAAATAAAGAAGCTAGATTTTCCTAAATAAAAATCTTTTATTTGTTTTTGCTTTTTTTAAACAAAAAAAAAAATAAGAAAAAAATAAGTATCAATCGCATTTGGCCAGTTAATAATTTGTCTGCCATTTTTAAGCAAATATATCTGAGTTATCATTTTATGCCTTTCACAATAAAAACAATTATTTCCCATTGAAGATTTATTTGATGTATTTGTATACCACTTGCCATTATTATGAACTCTGAGTGCACTACAGTTAAAATACTAAATCTGAAAAAAAAAAAAAACCGAAGCAGGCAATTACTGGATAATGTGTATTAGTATCTCTAGAGAAAGTGCCGGTAAGAGGTATGTTGAGCATTACTGACCATCACCATGTAGAAAATATAAAAATCCTTTAATTAGGGCAAGTTTCCCATTATCAATTTCTCTACAGGCTGAGTTGGATGGAGGAAGAACGGTAGCTACTTGTGAACTGCAGCCTCTCTTGCGGTAGCCTCAGAAATATTGCACTTCCAGCAATAGGATTTACCTCTCATGTATACAGATCCTTTTTTCCTTCACCTGTCATTACAGTCTATCTTCTTTGCCAGAGCAATTACACATTTACCACCTCTCAGCATTTACCATCTCGTACATTTGCTGGAATCAGTACTGGAATTAATCATCTTCGGGTTTTTTTAACGATGAATTATATATGCTTTGTTTTAGCCAGCTCCCCTTACCCAATGAACTTTTCAATAGCCTAATAGTTGCATTGCTCTTGAAATACTCTCCAGCACATCAAGAAGGTGAAAGCACCTAAGCACTAACAACCCATGCAAGCATCTATGCAAAGAGGGTGCATAATGAGAGCCAAGAGAATGAAGACAAATTTCATCACCATTTCTATATTACAATCAAGGGCCAGCATATTCTATTAGAAGTTATACTTCATAAAAGGAGTGAGGGTCAATCAGCATATTTGTTCCCGGCACAGCAGGGATATAGCAAATGTTCTAATCCCATTAATAATAGTGACAATAAATCTTATCCAAAAAGATTTGCTTTCACCACAGAGGAAATAACAGCATTAAAAGGCATTATAAGATCCTATTCAACCCAAGATAGGGACAGAATATAACTAGGCTAATTCTCTTCATTCAGCTGCCATTGAGATGCTCATCATGCTTCTCTTTTATCTATTTGCACTGAAAGTATTTTTTTCTTTCTTTCTGCAATTAAAAGACTTAAGAAGCCAACTTGCAAAACCTGAATCGTGGAGAAAATGGAGAATAACCTTAATCCTGAAATCTGGATTCTATCGTCTTTTGGCCCTACAATCTATCTAGACCAGGGGTGTCAAATTCGTGTCGTCAGGGCGGCATCACGTGATGTATCGCTACTTTTTCCTTCGCTAAACCGGGCGTGGCCAGCACATGACATATCCGGCCCATGGGCCGTGAGTTTGACAGCCCTGATCTAGACAAAGATAATGTACAGATAGTCCTCAATTTACAACAGTTCATTTAATGACCATTCAAAGTTACAACAGCACTGAAAAACTTATGGCTTATGATTGTTTTTCATACTTACAACCATTGCAGCAGCCCCACAGTCACATGCTTAGAATTCAGTTGCTTGGCAACTGGTTCGTATTTATGACAGTTGCAGTGTCCCAGGATCATGTGATTCCCCTTTTGCAACCTTCTGACAAGCAAAATCAATGGGGAAGCCAGATTCACTTAACAACCTTGTTACCAACTTAACATCTGCAATGATTCACTTAATACCTTGTGGCAAGAAAAGTTATAAAATGGAGCAAAACTCAGTTAACAAATGTCTCAGTTAACAACAAAAATTTTGGGCTCAATTGTGGTCGTAGGTTGAGGACTGCCTGCACTAATTCAAATGACCATTTAAACTGTCCCAAGATTGGTTGGCATGATTAAACATTCAGAATGGATGGTCACTTGAAGATTATCACAGTGGTGTGGAGGTAGCTCCCCTCATTCGCATACTAGAATCTGGGGGTCACGTAATGAAGTTGAAAGTTGAAAAGTTCAGAACAGATAAAAGAAAGCATTACTTTGTACAATGAATAATTTTGCTTCCCCAAGATGTAGTGATGTTAACCTAATCTTGCGTAGCTTCTTCTCTGGTAATGTTGTACTATTAACTAGAGCATACAAAACATTTGCTAGACCAATTCTTGAATACAGCTCATCTGTCTTGAACCCGCACTGCATATCGGACATAAATACAATCGAGAGAGTCCAGAGATATTTTACGAGAGAAGTCCTCCTTTCTTCTAACCGCAATAAAATACCTTATTCCTTCAAAATATTTTGAAGATTTTGGGAGCACGAAAAGATTTTAACCGACCGAAACACTGTCTGTAATTGTTTGAAAGAATGATGTTTTTATGTTGTTTTTGTTTGAAAATAAAAAAAAAAATCTTTAAAAAATAAATAAATAAATAAAATACCTTATGCCACCAGACTTCAAATTTTGGGCTTAGACAATTTAGAACTACGCCGACTTCAGTCTGACCTAAGCATAGTACATAAAATTATCTGCCACAATGTCCTTCCTGACAATGACTACTTCAGCTTCAGCCACAACAATACACGAGCAAATAATAGATACAAACTCAAGGTAAACCATTCCAAACTTGATTGCAGAAAATATGATTTCGGTAACAGAATGGTCAATGCCTGGAATGCACTACCTGACTCTGTAGTTTCTTCCCCAAACCCCCAAAACTTTAATAATAATAAATAATAATAAACTTTATTGTCATTGTATGTGTATACACAGTGTACACATACAACGAAATTTACTTAACATCCAAAGACCAGGTCCCACACACATAATCCCCAAACACACTCCCCACCACAATTCCCCCCCCCCAAACCACCCAAACATCCACACAACAGACCAAGTAATACTGTCCAACAGCTCACTGATGGTGGCCCTTTAGTTCATTGTTGAGTGCAATTATAGCTCTGTAGTTTATAACCTTAAACTGTCTACTGTTGACCTCGCCCCATTCCTAAGAGGTCTTGAAGGGGTGTGCATAAGTGCACCAGCGTGCCTACCGTCCCTGTCCTAATATTTCTTTTTATTTACTCTTTTCATGTATTCAAATTATGTTTATACTTTTACTTGTTATCTTATATATGCTTGACAAATAAACTTAAACATGTAGGGGGTTTAATAGAGAACAAAACAGATTCATGGCAGATATGATCCATAATGGCTACTTATCAAAATGCTTTTATGCTGCCCCAATCAGAGGCAAAATGCTCCTTTATACCACCTGTTGGAAACATAAGCAGGAAGCTACTACCGTGATTATGGTCCCTTTGTGGATTTCTTATATGGTTGGCAACTGTGAGAAATATAACCTACGACTAGACAAGCCTTGTGTTTGATTCGTGTTGTTTTACATTCTTACATTCTATTCCCTAGGAACTGTAGTAATACTTGGTCAACAACTCTAAGTGACTTTGAGCAGAATGTTTGACTAAAAAAGTATTTCATGACAAAGGAGTAACCGATACCCTTTGTATAACTGTAAATAATTGGACTGAATCACTGGCCTACCCATTATCTTTGCAACCCCAGCCAAAGCACTGCCCCTCCCACTCCAATAAAGCCCCACAAAATGGGTTGCCGTCTCATTCTTCGGTTGCAATAAATAGACTCCCTCCGTCCATTTGCATAGTTTCCAATCAGGCAAAGGAAGTGAGGCTTAGAAGGCAGGATCCTGGCGTGTGGCTGATTAGCATGGAAATATATGCAGCTCACAAACAAACCAGGGCCTGCTTAATTAGAGCAGAGCCTTTGATTCACTGCCAACATCCAGCACATACCAGCCCAGGATTATTTTTAGTCAGTTTTACAAAACAAATGTATTTGATTAAGAGAGACGCCCCAGAGTGAAAGAAGATAGATCAGCAGCCGCAGAGATATAGAGAGGCTGGTCCCCTACAGCGAACAGGGCTTGGGCTCAT